TTTCAGTTAAACTTCTTATAGCAACACATCTCATTCACTATTGTTGGCTATACCTTACGAGTTCTTGTTTTCTACTAATTCACAGAACTAGAAAGTCTAGAATCTGTACTGGGGTAGAGCTATATACACATACCTATTTGGCTATGCTATAGTACTGTAATTGCAATATGATGTTAATGTGGTTCTGAATTGGAATCCAATGTTGTCTATTTGATTCCAGTCTGGATTTGTCATTTGACCAATCTGACATAGATTTGATATAGTCCACATCCTTCAAGTGTAGATAAACTATGATTCTAGAAGAGACAATGTCTCCAAAAAGATTAATATGATGATGAATATAGAACTCCTCAGTCAAAAAAGATTTCAACCTTCAACTACCTCAACTAACACTTTGATAAAGCAAAAGAACACGTTCTCCTGGAAAAACGAGCCACAAAGAAGTCCAGCGCTACATGAATGATGACCCATGTTCAAAGGTACAGGATCACGAATTTCTTTGCAGCTTACAGAATATCAGAGTTTAGTGGTTATAGTTTATACATATCTTCACGACAATTTTGATACTAGATTAGGGAGCCGGGTCAGGAACGTGTATTTTGTACATGGCGTAACTCTATTTGCATACGGTGTAATTTATTTTCAACAATGTGTAACTCTAGAATAAAATTTTATGAGTCCCACGCATGTTGTTAAAAATGAGGTACAAGATGAAATCTGGACCTTACAATTTTTTTTGGCCAAATCTTGGCCGTGAACTGCCAGGAAACCGTTCCTGCCCCTCTTCCCTAGATTAGTATTACTTGTACAAGCTGCAGTATTGCACGGATGAAGGTCAAGAGAAACTGATTTGACAGTACCTGATACTCAAAAACGAGCGAAAGCAGTGAAGAAGTTGATTTATAGGCAGTTAAAGGGTTGAGTTTGTACTTTTTCTGGAATTCCTTTGTTGCAGCTAAAACATAAGAGATCATCATTTCACTAAAGCAAAGAAGAACAAGCTTGGCGCGCATATGATATTGCTTGGGAGACAGAAGGCACCATGATTTGTTGGAAGGGTGAGCTGTAAAGCTTCATGATCATTTCTCTTTCCCTAATTGAGGGGAATTTTGGACCATGTTTGGAACATTTGTAGTCTATCATGATTAAACTAATAACAAATCACTAATCCTTTAGCTGGTGCAGAAATCTTACACCTTTTAGGAGCATCTCTTGACATTTGATGCAGAAATATTGCGCAAAAGAACAAAATGTCGCAGGAGTTGATCGCTTTTCAGACGAACTTGCATAATTTCTGATGTTACTAGTTACCAACGGGCATATTCAACCAATGCAAATTAACTAAAATGATTAAGGATGTTGCACCAAAACGAAGAACTGACCAATGAATAAGCATACTTTTCTACCACAAAGTCACAACTCTGATGTCAGACACTCCAATCTATATAGGATACTTATATAACATAGGAATTGCTCGAGAAACCGCATGATACTGAGAAATGATGAAGTACCACCACAACTGACACTAATAATCTGAGCAATCCACCTTTACATAGTTCTAGAACATAAATTGCTTCAGATTTTATGTTCATAGTAGAACATTTAACATTTCATTCCAGGTATCAGGAACTCCAGGGAGGCACCAATGGCTACAATCAGAGGTATACCCTTTGACGTGCTGTTTCTCTTCTTGGCCTATGGATCTCCCATAAACAGATGGATGGCCGTCTCTTCTAAGTGCTGACAATGTAGTAATATCCTGCAGATATACTGGAAATCTCATCCTTCGTAGCACCCCTCTTAATACAGGTAATTGTGGAGGGACATGAGGGTGACTGAAGTATTGAAGAGGTTCCTTCTGATTATAACATTTCCAGCCGTTGTCCCTGCCAATAAATGAATCCCTGATGATTAATAACCTATATATACTTCAATCTAAATCAGCATGTGGAAAGCTCTGTTAGAGATTGCAATATTAGCATTGTTAAACTGGTATGGAATTTGGCATGCCTGATTAAGGACTGATTCAAGGTTCAGTCTGAGACAATCCAAAAGCTTAGAAGGCAACTACATTGGTCAAACCTAGTCAGGAACTAATAAAACACTAAATCTGTGTCATTTTTTTTTTTTTGAGGTTCATAAACTGTCGACTTACCATGGAACCCATTCAATCTCTAGTCTGGTTATACAGAAAGAGTAATATTGAAGTTAATAATGTTGGAGAGTTGGAGTGTTACATTTTACAAAGGATGAAATTCTGGTTGATTACCTGTTATGCCTCGGAGACATGCTCCTGAAAAAGACTCGACTTCTGCGAGGATCAAGATTCAAGTCTATCCACTTAGCCCATGTAGTGAGTCCTTTCTCATATGCAACCATTGGGTTCATATTCGTATATGCATTGTTTCCATCCGCGAGGAAGTCCCACCTGCAATTTAGTTACTTTATAGGATAGAACAACAAAGGAATGATGCTATGAATGCAAACATTTTATTAATCTTGTAGAAGTGGGACAAGAAGATTCTGTCTTACGAACTATATTGATCAGAATGAGTCCACCAATGGGCTGAATCAAAAACAAGAACATCAACTCCTCTCCAGTACTTCGCATTCTCTTCTATCAAGTCTAGATGCAGTATTCTTTTGCCTGCTGTTTCCTTCTTCAGTTCCACGAGAAATGGAGCCCAACAAAACTCAATCGATGTCTCATAATCCTGTCAAAATTCAACAATTAAACCGATCATGCACCTACAATATTTGAGAGTACCATTCCCATTCCACTGTTAAAAACAGAGGCTTTCATCTAACCATATAGAAGCTTTCTAAATTTCTCTCCTTACCAATGCTTGGAATGCCATGGCAGGACCATGATAAGTGACCATTTTTCGAGCAGTTGGAATAACAGATTGGACTAAACAGACAAGAGACTCCCATTGGTTCCTCATTATGGAATCACCTACAAGCATTATTCTCTTCCTTCTCATTCTCCCCAGAAATTCCAATGCATCAAACCTGCATCACCGGACCACTCAATGGAGCAAAGACATACATACTCATATCACGGCATGCAATCATGCATTTTATGTCTAAAAAAAAGAAGAAGAAGAAGAAGATTTCCCAGAATAGATAATCCCCAAAGGAGAATACTAATGCACTGAAAAATGATGCGCTTATTTGAAGGTAATTGAGGTACCTTGGAATCGTACAACCGTCTGGCTTCCACCTCCACTTTTCATAATCAGAATCAGGGCGTCCGTTCTTCTGACATTTAACTGCAGTGCTAAGGTAGGGGCAAGTGCTTGGATCATAAAGCGGATAAGTTTGATCATAAACCCATTTTCCAGAGGTTAAATCACATCTCCTGATCGAGGCATGCCTGCCTTGAATCATGTTAATTTCGTCGTCATTGTCAGCCAGCCACGACAGCTCCTCTTGCTCATACCTTGAAGATTCACCATCAGACAAATTCAGTAGGAAAAAGCACAAGAACAAAAGCCACATTAATGGCCAACTGATCTTAGCCTTGGCTCCCATCTGCAACCAGTGGAACTGAACTTGTTAAGTTTAAGCCTTGGAGAGCAACTGGGAAGCTACCCTATCAGCTGAGCTCCAGTGTTGTGAAGTAAATTTGTAAGTGGGAGGCCTTTAAATTTAATTAGGGTAGACTAAAGTGAGTACTGTTAGTTCCATCTCGCCTTGACTTGCGCTGGGATATGGAGCAATGGACCATGCAAATGTACTTTTTACTCATTAGATAGAAGTCTCTGTAGTGGTAATTAAAGATGGTACTACTATAACTTTGCCTTTTCCCCTGGGTACAAATCATTTAAAGGGCTGGCCACGTTGGTTCTTTCGCTTCTACTATGACAAAACTCAGTACAAAAGTTTGTAATGCATGGTTCAATCATCATTGCTTCCGCACTACCTAATTCCAGGAAGAAGAATCAAAACAAAGCAAAATAAAAGTTCTTCATCTAGGGGATTGTTGATCGGAAGTTTGAAACTGAACTTGCTGTTGGCAACCGTAACTCCGTAATTTCAGGCTCTTAAGGCCACTTATTTACCTGATAGATTGATCTTTAATGTCACTTTGAGGCAAGGTTTAGAGCTATGTTGTAAGGATAGGGGGATGCTTATGATGGTACGAGTATATGAGATTAGGAGTTAGGACTAACGAGTATTGATTGTAAGCATTTTCTTCTAAGAGTAACAACTAAGGTTGTGATGTCAGATGTGAGCGCTGTGTTGGTTGCTAGTGTACGATTTGTCAAAACACCTATAAGGGTCCATGATCTCGAAAAGCATGCATTGATTTGTGGAGATATCTGATCGAACCCATTCAAATATTTTTCTTTAAAAAATAAAATAATTAAGGCTCTGTTTGATAATTCAATTCAGTAATTAAATTTAATGGGTTAAAATTTTAACATATTCAAATAAGTTAATAATCAAAAATTGAACATTTGAATTAATTAACTAGCACGGATTTTTTAGGCAAAACTTATTCTCAAAATTAAGTGATAAATTATTTGCTTGTCATTGAATGTAATATACACTTAAATGTATTAGATTTAATATTTAACAATTCAATAATTTAATAAATTCAGATTTTATAATTTAAATTTTAAATTTCAGTTTTATCAAACGCACCCGATACCTAGTAATAATAGACTGTTTTACTCGGTTGCTGTTTTTCTTCCTTTTGTTTTTTTTTTTGGGTCAGACCTTGTTACAATTTTTCTCAAAAGCGAAAGGACTCACACTGGACCTGCGTCATGGTCAAATTCTGTTTTTTGGACGATTTTTTTGGGTTCTCAGAGTTTATTCTGTCGTCGGGCCAATTCCCCATTGCTCCATAATCAGCAGGCCTACTTCATTCTTTGCCCTTCTGGACCTTGTCTATTGCTCAAAATTCCCCGGTCGCGGTTCAGAGAGCGGTCATGTACAATAAAAGCCATAAAGGCTTAAACCCTCACCTCGAGACTTTTCTGTAACTCAAAACACCAAACTCCCTAAAACCCCATTAGATTCAAATCCTCTGAACAGAACGAAGTGAGAAAAAGAAATATAATCTAACAGGGTGGAGAAAACATGATGGAGAGCAGACTTATCTCAGTTTTCAGAAAAACTAAAAACATAGTTAATCAAATTTCCTCAAATTCAAGATTATCAACATCAGGGGTTTGCATTTCCAATGAGCCCTCCTTGCTGATCCACTCAAAAACTTACTCTTCTTTTTCTTCTAATCTTATTCCTGCAAGCCAAACCAGCATTATCAGAAGCTTGAGTAACTTGGGATTCAAAGCATTTCGTCGTCATTATCCTAATCATAAGGTTCATTTCTTGTTCCTCTTCTCAAGTGTAATCAGCTTATTTTTGTATCTTATAGACCAACATAAATGTTTATTGCCCTTTTTCATTTTCTTTTCCTTCCTTTTTTTTTTGGTATTTTATAGACAAACAGAAATGTCTATTCCGAATATTTTTTTGGTATAATGGGTTTAGCATGTTTAGCTTTTGATTAAAGATCATCCCTTTGTTCGAATTTGGTGGCGGCTTAATGTTAAGATTGTTAGTAGACAACTAGAAGCAGTGGATTTTTTGTGAAAAAAAGAAAATGGCATTTTTTCTTCAAATTTGATATGAACTGTTTCAATTCTTAGTCATATTGATAGGAAGCAACATGGAAATACTGCAGGTTTTAGCCATATCTTGATCTGTTTGTTGCTTTGGTCTTTAATACCTTTGGGATAGGATGCTGTTAAAATCTCAATTGTAAGTTTGAAAACTGGGAAATTTGGCTTGATTAATGGGTAGAAGATCTTAACTTAGATGCTATAATTAGGTTTGATCTTGTACTTTCGTTTCATGGACAAGGCAATGGACTTTATTAGCATTTTGTTCTAATGATCATGGTTGCTAACCCAGCTTTCTGGTTTCAGGGTTTCTGCAGACCATCCTTTAGGAATTTATCCACTGCAGCAGCTGCGTCTACAAAAAAGAAGGATGGTTTGAGGCTTCTTGTAACTGCTGGGCCTCGTGCCCAGAAGTTGGTTGGGATATGGCTTTTTGGATCTGCTGCTTGGGTCTTCAGTATGGTGGTGCTTGGCGGTATGACACGATTAACCAGATCGGGGCTTTCAATGACTGACTGGAAATTCACTGGGAGGCTTCCTCCTCTAACAGATGAAGATTGGCTAGTTGAATTTGAGAAATATAAACAGTCACCTGAATATAAACGGTCAGTTGAAGTAGCATTTTATGCAATTGTAGTTCAAATTATTTGTTGTTTTACTTTTGCAAGAATCAGTCATGTTTACAATATTAACTTTTTGGAACTCCTGGTGCATTTTGTGCTGATATTTATTTATTTATTTGCTGCATATGATATTCTCATAGGGTATTTCGTGTCTTGATGAATTTTCTGTGCTCTTTGTTTGTTGATTAGGTCTCTACTGATCATTAAACATGATAGTAATTTTTATGTCAGTCACAATATTTGTTAGTCATGTTCACTTGGGAGCACTTTTCGCTGCATTTCTTAGTTTTGTTTTGTTGCAGTGTAAACAAAGGGATGAGTATTGATGATTTCAAATTCATTTATTGGATGGAGTATGCACATCGAATGTGGGGAAGAGCATTGGGTATCATGTTTGCTCTGCCATTCTCTTACTTTCTTCGCAAGGGTTATATTACTCTACAACTTGGACTTAGATTATCTGGGTTATTTGCTCTTGGTGCCGGGCAGGGACTAATAGGTTGGTGGATGGTTAAAAGTGGTTTAGAGGTATCAAGAACTGGGTTTTCTACTTGCAATGATTAATATCTGACACATATCTATTCAAAAAGGTCTAATTTCTTTTCCTTTATAGGACCCTGCATCGGAATATGCTCAACCAAGAGTCAGCCCTTACCGCCTAGCGGCCCATCTTACTTCAGCATTTGTAATTTACAGTGGGCTCTTCTGGACTGCTCTTTCAGTTGTTATGCCTGAACCTCCTGCTGAGTCAGTAGCTTGGGTTAAGGGTGCTGCAAAAGTTAAGCGACTTGCCTTCCCTGTGAGCATCCTTGTCGGAATCACTGCTGTCTCAGGAGCATTTGTTGCAGGAAATGATGCTGTATGTACCTATTGCTTCTTTGAAACTTGATATGTTTGCCAATAATCAAAGGACAAGCTCTGTATTTTATGAGTCAGAAATATATTCATTTTAACTTGTGGCTGCACCTAAAATCAATAGGGTCGTGCCTTTAACACTTTTCCAAAGATGGGTGATACATGGGTTCCAGAAGATATTTTCAATATGAAGCCTCTTCTGCGGAACTTCTTTGAGAATACATCAACTGTGCAGGTAACCTCTCTTAGTTTCTAGTCAGACTTCACATTTGCTGAAATATTATTGGATTCCAGATGAATTGGTGAACTTTATTTATTATCATTAGGAAGTGTGCTGTCTTTGTTTATTATCAATAGTTTTATTGTAGGAATCTACTTATGAAATGAAATGATGTGGACACTGACACGAGAAAAGGTTGGACATTTGATGTTACATTTATTTTCTTTTTCTTTTTCTTCTAGCAAAATTTAGCACATTGAAGAGATGGTTCTCAGATAATGTTGACCTTCTCCTTTGGGATCATCAGGACAGAAATAGAAGTGTGAATCAAGTACTCAACCTGGTACATTGACATTGATAATGACTGTAGATGGAAGATACAAAGTCGGATTTACTGTGGTCAAGATGCTATGAGAAAACTTTCAGGGAATGTAGGTTTAAAAATCTCGAAGTTTTATGGCCTGGCTGCATAAGCATTTACTGTGTGTGATATTTGTCTCAATTCACTGTATGACAAACTTGGCTCTCTAATGCTTATGTTCTTGAAAGATGGAAAGCAACTAACTTTAGTTCTCTGACCAGATGCAAATATGAAATCTCATCTCTGTTAGAATCCATATTTTGTGCTGGTATGCAAAATTTTCTAATAACAAGACTCGATTTCTTTAATAGCTAGATCATCGTATACTTGCCACTACGACTTTAGCAGCAATTGGTGGCTTATGGTTCTCAACTCGGAAACTGGACCTGCATCCGGCCATACGCTCCTTGATCGGAAGTATAGTAGGCATGGCTGCTCTCCAGGTGTGTCCTGCTAAGTTCTAGCAATCCTCGTTGGCGAGCTTTATCACAATTGTCTGGCCAATTCCTTGGCTTGATTGCCTTTGTCAGACGCGCATGAATGATTTAAATTTATCTGTTAAATAAATTTTGCTCCATCGGCAGGTCACTTTGGGGGTATCAACTCTTCTGTCATATGTACCTGTGTCACTTGGCACAGCTCATCAAGCTGGAGCTCTAACGCTTCTAAGTCTGATGCTTCTGCTCAATCACACCGTACGTCGGCCTTCAATGTCACTTCTGAAGACTCTGCCTCCTGTTGTAAAAACAGTCACCTAGATGATCATCAAGATAATGTGTATTAGATGGCGGATTATTTTCGGCATCCGATAGTTAGATTACTTAAAAAGAAATTGCAAATGAGAGTTCTGAATGTAGCTGTTGTATGGAAGAAAGATTTGGTGCAAAATGGTGTCTCTCTTGCATCTGCAATTTCTGTCATCAGTGGGAATGCTTATTATTTTAGAACCATTGTGGTCCTTCGTGCAATGTTTTTCATTTTTTTTTCCACTTAGAAGTATTCCAACCTTTCAGTTTTGTTCCAAGGATACGCATCAAAGTAACACATAGGGATCAATCACGAGACTTGCTGGTAATTACCAGGTTACGGAACTAGTCGGACCACTCGTAGGGGGCTTGCAGTGATTTTCATTTGATCATACGTAAATGTTTATTTTTGGCATCAAAATGTAGCATAGTTGGTAATAAGCCAGGAATTAGAAATAGCTCGAAGTTTTATATCCAATGAAATTTACAAGTTTGTCTTCAAAGTAAGATAAAAAAATTTCGGGTGCAAAAAAATTATAAGTTCTCATCAATTGTGTGGATTAATTCTTACGGAGTGATATGAAACCTTAGAGGTTATAAAAAAATAATTAAAATTTTTTTTTAATAGTTAGAAATGAACATTGAATTGGGTGGTAAAATAGATTTAACATTCTCGGATCAAGCCTGGAGACCCCTAATAACCATTGCAGCCCTCAAATTATACGTCCGTTGATTCAAATTTAGGCTTCATTAGCATCGAGAGAAAATGACAGAAAAGAAAGTATCCCGAGAGAAAGTTTCATTCCTTTGAGAGTTTTAACAAGGACGAAAGATAAACGAAATAAACGGATGGGACTTCCTCTAATTGGTGAAAATTTTTCCGCCTAAAATTGGGAAGAAAAGGATGAAAACTTGTTGGGCGCCAAAAGATATTTTTAATATGACAATTTTGTCCTTCAAAAGTTGATACAAAACTTCATTATTTCCGATATATCCTAAAGTTAATTTGTAAAAGCACCGATACAAAGCTTTCTGAGTTCTATACTTTCTATACTTCCAACTAGTTGAGTTCACTTGGCTTTCTTTTGTTCTTCACCCGCAATTCAATAACAAAAGGTATTTCTTTAACTCAATCTCTTTTTTCTTTCTTTGCTCAATCTTCTCTAGAGAATTATGGAAAAAGCATTTTTTTTGTGTAGATTGTTATTGTTTGTATTCTAAATTTTTTGTTCATTTTTTATCATAAAATTCTTGTCAATGAACTCTTGATTTTTATATTATTGATTTGTGATTATATCTTGCATGGTTATGGTACATGTAAGCTCCAGTGGTGATACATGAATATGAAATTTGAATGCATACAATCTGTATGTTTATTTGCCTATGTAAGCTTCAAATTGTAAAATGATCCAGCAAGAACTTCCATTTCTCATGGATTCCAGTTTCCATGTTGTAGATCAACAATCCAAACAACTTCACAAAAACTGATGCCTCTAGGAGTTTTATCATCCATGGGATCAGCCCCCAAATCTGATCACCTGATCACAGATGATGAGCCTTTTGTAGATAGGGCTAATAATCATGAAACGTATAAAAAATGTCTTACACCATTTGGGAACTCAACTTATTATTATTCATCTTGTGGGAATGCACATGCAATTATTTTAGAAATTTGTCTTGCCCAAATATTCTATTTATTGGAACAAGAAAGCTAATATTTGGACTTTAATTTAAAAATTGAAAGGGCAAATACGTAAAGTTATATTCTCATAAAATCTTTTCTTTCCATATCTCTCTAACTCTTAAATAAGAGAAAGATATTTCTTTTCTTTTCTTTCACTGAACTCCCAACCGAAATAAGTATGCATCTTTTTTGGCTAATTGAGCTGATTATTGCCGGAAAAAAAAAAAGTCGGAACAATGTTGTTCTGACAATATAGTAGTATAAAACTAAGTCAGCCCAGTAGGCAAAAGAATTTTTTTTTTTTTAAGTTTGGTTGTCGGGCTGACTTGCTCGATAGCTACCGGAAATTTTGAAAAAAATGCTGCAGGTTGTCGGTTGCCGGGCTTACCAGTGGAAATTTGCCTTCTAAGCCCGGCAGCCAGTGGAAATTTGCCTACAAAGCTGCAGGCTGTCTCCAATCGTTAAAATAATGTTTGATATGGATGTAAAGAGCAATGAAATCATCACGGCAAGAAATTTGAATAATAAATTAGCATACTGGTGAACCAGGGTATTATATTTAAAAACTTATGCTGTCGGGCTGATTACGCCCAGTAGCCTTTTTGGTTAAATTTTTTTTTAAAGTTGAAACGTAAGAAAAAGGTTCAGATAGATTTGCTAAATCAATTATTTTTATTTTATGTTAAATCCTAAAAAAAGTTTTTAGATAAAAAAAAAACTCATTCAATTTACAAGAAGATGCATTTTCCAAATATTTGAAAAATAATCGTTGAAATTATTATGTATAAGACTTGGTTTTATATTTTTATAAAATATATAGAAAATTGATATTTACCTAAATAAAATATACAAATAAATTATTATTTGGTAGTGGATTGTTATAAGAATAAAGGTAAAAATAAATATGATAGTGGGTAGTTAAGTATAAAAAGTAATTTTTAATGTAAACTATAATTTTATAAATATAAAATTATTGTGCAATATAAAAATGAAAAGGCAAAAAATAAAAAAGAAGAATATTTGATAACACGAAATGGTGAAATATATTTGTACTGCAGTAATTTCACTAATCTCGATTTCAAGGGGCAGCTGCCCTGAATGAAAATGCAAGTTTTGCTTTGACTGATCTTGTCGTATGAGGATCAACTTATTTGATGTATCTTTGTTGTGTAAATTATCAAATTATTTATTTGTCACATTTTCTGGTCGTAAAAGTAATAGAGTCTACCATTTTGTGCCAAGATGATCTACTAGCCAGACTCTTAATTGACTTGAACGATTTAACCCAAGGTTTTCAATATGTGTTTGGATAAAATAAATCGTTGATAAAATTTTGTGTCTAATCTATAATTTGCATGTGCATTTATTATTAGGGATGTAATCGAATCGAGTCGAGTTCGAGTATCGCCATACTCGAGCTCGACTCGACATACAAGGAAGATGCTCGAGTTCAAGCGAGTAGTATTATTTAGGGGTGGACAAAAAAATCCGTCGGTTCAAAAATCCGATGAATCCGATCCGAAAAATAGGATATCCGATCCGATTTTTCTTAGCGGGGCAAACGAGGGTCGGGTACCCGTAAAAATTGGGTACGGATACGAATCAGAAAAATGAAAACCTGCGGGTACCTGACCCACAGGGTATATTTTATAAATATTAAAAAATTAGGAACCATTTCATAACTTTGTAATTTTTAATTCTAAGTGCAAGTGAAGTGACTCACAGCCTCATATTCTAATCCTATATGATCAACCTCTCATCATCTTGTTTAAAGAAAGCGAATGTTCTCGGTGAAACATGAACCAAACGAACAAAATGAAAAAAAAAAATTTGTGAAACTTTGTTATAAAAGTTGTTTATCCCTTTCATCCTTTTTATTTTTATTTTACTTCCATCGATCTTTCCTACAAATTTTGCATCAATTCAATCAAAGATTTGCGTTTGGAATTTCAATTTTCTGTTAGCTAGATAATAAAAACATTTGTGTCTTTCATTTATTTATTTATTTGATTTATTTTATTGCAATTATGTCTCTTAAATGTGTCTCTTTTATTTAGTGTAAGAAATTTATTTTTATTTTTCATCACCTTTAATACCATAAGGTCTATTCCAAAGATGTAAAGAAGTTGGGAAAGATTTTTTAAGGTTATTTTGGTTATATTTTTTCCAAAAATAATTAGTTCTATTCAATTCTTTTCCGAACTTTATTTCACAATCGACTTATTTGGGATGCAGTCTTGTACCATAACATCCTTAAGGAAATTGGGAAAGTTGCGAAATACTTATTATCCTTATGTTTGTTGTGTTGTCGAATGATGAAATGTGTGAGAATAGTGATATACTCAAAATTATTATGAAATTCGTTTTGTCCGTTAGATATTATAATTCTAATATGTACTAAATTTATGAGATCGATTTGATTGTTGAATGAAATGTGTGAGAATGGTGATGTATGGATTTTAATTACAATATCTCTACCAATATTAATTGAAAAAGCGTGTTTTTTTATTGAAAAACATGTTGATATTAAGTGAAAAATAATTTTTTTTATTGAAAAAGAGTTTTTTTTAGGGGTGGGTACCGTATGACCCACCCCTTATTTTCGGGTACCCGAATAATGGGTACTCAAAGATATTATGAGCGGGTTAGGATCGTAAAATGATTGATCCGATATATTAGGGTCGGGTTAGTTAAATCATATTAGGGGCGGGCAAACGACCCGTGCCCACCCCTAGTATTATTGGAGCTCGAGCTCGAAGTTTGTTCGCAGAACTCGAGTTCGACTCGCATAGGCTCGAGTCAACGCGAGTCTTATCGAGCTCGATCGAAGTCGAGTTACAAAATTTCATTTTCTTAATAATTTTTGAGCGAAAAA